CAAAATGCGAGGAAACGTAAACTTTGACCGATTTAATATATTGTTTTAATTTCGTACATGAAAAATACAAGCATATGCACAATTTCTCAATCATGGAATACCTAGTTTCAGCATTAATTAATATTCGACTAAGGTAATAAATGGGCCTTTCGACATCGCTATCATCCTCTTGAGCTAACATGCTCCCTATAGTTATGTCGGACACTGCAATGTACAACTTCATGTTTTTATTTGTACTAGGTGACAACAAAATAGGAGGTCTTGTGAGATATTCTTTAATGGTGCAAAAGCTTCTTATTGCTTTCGTCCCCAGTAGAACTCGCTTTCCTTCTTGGATTTCAGCAATGGCGAGAATACCTTTGTCTTGTCACTTAGATTTGATATGAATCTTCTCAAGAAGTTAATCTTCCCCAGCAATGACTAGAGTTGCTTTTTTGTCAAAGGAGGCTTGAGGTCCAGAATTGCCTTTGTTTTGTTCTGATTGATCTTAATGCCTTTCTTGTAGACCACAAACCCCAGGCAATCTCCTGCATGTACGCAAAAAGCACACTCTAGTGGATTCATTTTTAATCCATATTTCCTCATTCTCTCAAATGAGCGTCGAAGGTGGTCCAGATGACCAACCTCTGACGATGATTTTATGACTATGTCGTCAATATATACCTGCATGAACTTTTCAATGAAATCATGGAAAATAGCGTTCATAGCCCTTTGATAGGTTGCTCTAGCGTTTTTAAACCGAATGGAATTACCACCCATTCATAAGTTCCCAACGCTCATGGGCATTGGAACACCGTTTTGGGAACATCTTCCTCAACTATGAAGATCTGGTTATATCCAGAATATCCGTCGAGCATGCTTAGATATTCAAAACCAGCGGATGAATCGACCAACATTTCTGCCACAAGCATTGAATACTCATCTTTAGGGGTGACACTATTCAAATATCTGAAATCTATGCAGACTCTCAAGGTGCCACTTTTCTTGACGATCGGGACTATGTTCGCCAACCACCCGACATACCTCGTTGTGCGGATGAACTGACTTTGTAGCAATCATTCAATCTCCTTCTTGATTTTCAGCATGACTTTTGAGGTGAATCTACGTGGTTGTTGCTTCACTGGTCTCCTCCCTGGTTGGATGGGCAATCAGTGTTCTACAACCTTACAACTTAGCCCTGACATCTCACCGTAATCCCAAGCAAAACAATTCTTGTACTCTTTCAATACCTCAATCAGTTTGGCTCTCATCTTCGAACTAATCTTGGTACTCACGTATGTAGGGTTTTTTGTGGTTCCATCCCCTAAATCAATCTCTTCGAGCGGGTCTTGCGCTTGTATCCTCTACAGCTCGCAGGATGGGTTTTTCTCAAATCCTAAAGGCTCGTCGTCGTAAATACATTCGAGCCTTCTACTTTCTGAAGCTGTTGTCTGGCCTTGTCGACCAATCATACATATATTGCTGGTGGTCTCACTGTTCTTTTCCTTTTCGAGCACCGCGTTTCGTTTATTTTCAGCCAAATAGGCCGAAATTCGAGTTAGACTTTCTGACTCAGTAGCCATCTTTATCTATAGGGGGCCACCCTGTGGGTGGGCAACTTTGTGATGACTCCACTGGGGTGTTGGATAAATCCCACACGAAACCATAATCCAGGTCCAAGTTTAGGATACGACCAGTGTTAACAGAGGTGTAAGATCCTAACTCATCGTTTTCGTGCCTCGAAAAATACGATCCTCGCGATGGACGCGGAAAATACGTTCGAACAGAGTCGCCACCGAACTTTATTCATTCCAAGGAAGGAATAGGAATATATCGATAAAACCTTTAAAGAGATAAGAGCATGGTCATTGCAACCACATTCTAGGTTCGGGAGTCAATTACATGAGGGAAGGTATTAACACCCCTCATGTCCGTTGTACTCAACGAGAACCTCTTGATTCGATTCGAGAGTAAAGTTATCTACGCTTTTTTGTTTTCTTCTAAGGTTTCTCCTATGGGGGAAATGGGTGGTTTATAGATAGGGTTCTCGCCGAGGATTGAGGCCCTTGTGCCTACGTATCTTCACTTGTAAGAAGTGGAAAATCAGAGCATTCGTAGTTCGTGGGACTACGGGAAAAAAGGGGGATTGTGCTCGCCAAGATCATCGCGATCTTGTGCCTACGTATCTTACATTCAAAGAAGAATGAAGAATCAGAGCGGTCGTAGTTCGGCTGACTACGGTAAAAGGTTTGGTATGTGAACGAGTGTTTAGGTCATATTCTAACTGCTAAACGTTGGCTTGTCTGCTCACTAGGGGAGGCTGAAGCACAGGTTTGTTATGCGCGAAAGAATAGACTAAACAATGTTCTTTGAGAAAAGTTTGAGTTGGAAATCGCACGAGGGCGAGAAATTAGTGTTTAAGAAAGATTCAGTCGCACGGGGGCGAGAAAAGAGTTGGGTTGAATAAGTATCTAAGGTTTCGATTGCACGGGGGCGAGAAAGAGGAGTTTGGTTAGGTAATTTGACGGAGAATGACGACTAGTAGATAAACAAGACGTCGGTCTTGCAATTAATTAATCGGGATATCATTGGAATGCTAGATCCCAATGATACCTTTTTCATTCAATTTCGAAAGTTGTGTTTGATGGACGGTTTAGATGCGAAAGAGTTTGAATTGAAGGAGATTTAGATTCAATCATACGAGGATGAGAAACGAGGTTAGACAAGTTGTATGTTTAGGAGAAATGACGACTATTTGATAAGCAAGACGTCGGCCTTACAACCAATTAGTCGGGATATCATTGGAATGCTAGATCCCAACAACACCTTTTTCATTCCATTAATTATGAAATATGTTTGTTGGACAGTGAAAGTACTTGTCCAAATAATTAGAGGAAGTGTTTTAGGAACAAAAGTTCGAATGACACCCTAACCGAGGCGTACACCTCAATAGTTGTCACTCTCGAATTCAAGGAATGCGCGACTCCAAGAACTCGATACTTTCGTAATTTAATTAAGAAAATGATTTGAATAGGTTTGCGTAGGTGGGTTAAACAGGGTAGACATATTATTCGAATTAGGGTTTGCCTACTTTGAAAGTTTAAACAAAGTTGGGGAGTTTTAGCGATGAGAGACGAAACGACCACAACTCAAGGCGTGCACCTCGAGAGCAGTCGCTTAAGGACCCAAAGAGTGCTAGACTCCAAAGATCCACCACTTTCATAGAATTTCGAGAAAAAAAGATCTTTACTTATTCTAATCTAAAAATAAAATATTTAATTCGAATTTAATAAAAGGAAAATAAGAAATAAGTTGATAAAATTCTATAAAAAAATTTAAATAGAATCATATTGCAAAGCAAATATTAATTATCATAATTATAAAATCTAAAAAATAAAACTAATAATTAAGCTAAATGCAATTTATTTCTAAAATAACCCTATTAAATTCTACTAAGTCTTAGTTAAACTAAATAATATTGATCAACAAGAAAAAAACAAATAACTTAAAGGGAATTAGAACTAACATACATAAACATAAGGGGTACATGGATGGAAGGGCATGCTAGAAGGGTCCATACAGATTGGGCCCTCAAAAGGCCCAAATACACACTAAATCTAATAAGGAAGATGGCTGATAAAGGACAAAAACTGGGTGACCGTTCCTCCCCCGGATATCGGCCACGTATCGAATGTTGGACATCCAAGGAGATGAACATGGATGTACTACTTTAAGTTATATTATTGGAAATAATAAAAATTGGCTATGGATAATGACGTGTCAGCCCATGTGTCTTCCAACACAAAGCCATTAATGGCTGCTGACTAGAATTCAAAAGGAATCAACTGATCTCTCTCTTTTCTCTATACAAACAAGAAAATCTTCCTCAACCCATACGTTTGTCTTCTCTCACCTCACTATATTCTTCCTCTCCAAACACTTAAAACGAGTCACTCTCTCTCTGAAATCTCTCACGTCCTGAACCCTATTCCCAAATCAAAACAAAATCTAACCCGTGCCAAAACGAGGAAGAATCCAGAGTGATGAACGCAGTGGGTACACTAGTTTAGGGAAAACACGAAGTCAACAAAAGGGTGAAGAAAATACCTAGTTGGGGCAACTCTGACGACGTATCTTCTGGCGACGCTGAAGTGAGCGTGTGGGTATCCTCTCAATCTTCTACTCCTTTTTCATATTTTTCCATGCTTTCACTGAAACTATTGTGTGCCGTTAACATGAATTTGAAGCTAGCTGGCCTTACATAGAGCTCTGATGTGAGCACTGTGAAGGTTTGAAAACGTAGAGCTTTAGGATAGGTTGAGGGTGGGTTTCAGCAGAGTAACCTTAGGGTTTTTTCTTCTCTGCTACCGCCCCCTTGTCTTGAATGAATAGTAACAAATATATAAGGGGCTTGATGTTGTGAGATTAGGGTTTTTCTTTTGCAAACCGTGTAAATTTCTGGGTGAAAAAAGTATGATTTCAGACTCCTTTCTTGTAATTCTTTGTCTGTTAGTTGTTTCTGGGAATATCTGTTTTTTACCCTGATTTTTTTTTACAGTGTGAAAATGCTGCTTTGTACTGTCCTCAATTTTGCTGATATGGATTTATGGTTACTTGAACATGATTCTGCTTTTTGCTAATTTTGCTGTCTTACGTTAAAATTATGCAGGACCTTGATGTGATGGTGATGTGGGAGAATTTTCAAAGAATTATGGGATGGAAATAAGCTTGGATTTTGCAGCACATCATGTGGCGTATTCTGCTGCTATTCTGTTGCCGCTGTCATCAAATACATGGTTTGGACTCTTTTGAAAACTTGTCACCAGCTGTGAATTTCTTTGTGAGCTGAACTTCTCTTCTTGTATATGATGCCTGAACTTCACATTGTAAGACAATGGTGCATTTTATCTAGTTTTATATTGGGTTATCCTTCCTTCATTCATCTTTTGACCCTACACATTCTTTTCCTTTTCATGTGTTGCTTTTGGAATAAATGGTATACTGTTGTTGGTCTTCTTATACTAATCAACTGTCACCTTTTCATTTAGAGTCAATGACCCAACCAAGTCATCTTTGACAAAGTTCATAGCAGCATTAAATTTTGTAAGCTCTCCAAGTTTAGTTATCAAAAGAAAGATCAGCACCAAAAGCAAGAGCATTAGTTCCAATAACACTAAAAAGTTGACAATTGGGTTTGCTTTCAACCCAACACTGCGGCTTATTCCAGCATATTCGTGCAAGTATTGTAGTTCCACCTTTCCAGATGTTTGCTCGGGAACTTTGAAGCTTAAAATAGCCTTCACACCAGGAGCAGGTTCATTGACGGTGATAGTCGTAAAAAGGTTAGAATTTGTGTCTACTTTGATGTCAGTAGTGATGTTTTTGTTCTTCAACTGGGTATTAACATTAGCCAAAAAAAATTTACTTTTCTTTGTTCCTGAGGATGTTATAGCAACTCCAGTAGGTGAGTAAGTGTTGATAGTGAGCTTCTTGACACTGTGATAATCTTTGTACAACAGATCTCTGGCTTTCTTGTCGATGTCAGTGTAAAGACTAGGACCCTTCACCATGGCTGCTCGGTTGAAAGGAAGGATCTCATTGTTTTTTTGCATTGTGAACTGACTGTGGCTTGTTTTGCTGCCGTTATAACCGACAATTCTGACCCGTGCTGCCTTTTGTTTTATGTTAAAGTAATGCAGGGTATGAGCATTGGGATTTGGCACTTGGATGAAGCTATGGTTTAAGTTTGAAAACAGACTAAGGACTTGTACCCTCTTCTTTTCGTCACTGTCACCTGCTGTAAAGATCCTGGATGGTCATCACTGAGTTTGTTAATGGAAAACAAATTATGTTATGCCTTTGTTTAGTTATGCTGATAGGCGTTTATTTTTTCTAATCAAAGTATCTTCTCATCTTTGTAGGTACAACACTGAAGCTTTCTAAAATGGCCTATTTTCCTAGCAGGATAGAGAAATCATGAAGGATCATGTACCGTGATATTGAGAAGACTCAAGGTTACCACTTTGATAACTTTCATGTGTGTCAGGTATGCCTAGGCACTGAACCTTCTTCTTTACGTATCTGTGAACATCACTTGGGTCAGGTGTATTGAATTGTTGTATACACATATATGCAAGTTTATTTGTGTTAGAATGACATGCTGCTGCAATTTCTTTCCATAGGTGATGGTTCATGACTCATTTCAAAAATCTGGAGAAGGATTGTCGTCACGTGGAATATGAGCAGGGTCCATCCTCATTCTAATCTTCATGTGTTATCCTGTTGCTTCTCAATTCGAAGGGGCATTGTCTTTCACCTTTCATTGCAAGCATGCCGACCGTAATATCACTATATCCAGCAATAAACTTTGTAGCTGAGTGCATGACAATATCTGCTCCGCCATACAGATCATCACCGGTAAGAATTTTGTCACCGTTTTTAAGAAGGTGAATAACAGCAGTCAAAACAGCCATTCCACTAGTGAAGCCAAAAGATTCTATCAGTTTTATCAAGTGTTGCAAGAATACTTTCTAAAGCATCTTTAGTAGGATTTCTACTTCTGGTATAGGGACCACGTTATTAACCTTCTGTTTCTACTTCTATATCACTTGCAATGGTCTTAATTTATTCTTGAAAGTATGCCTCATGTGGGAACAATGTGCTATCCAGAACTTGTTTGCATTTAACCCTCCACTTCTGCTTATGCACACAGGTTTTGACATGAAGTCTTCTAGCTGGTGAGGATTATTTTGAAAGATGTGCAGCACCCCATCCTTCCTTGCTTGTAGGTTGATGTCACATGCTGTCATGAGAAAAATGGGACAACAACTTGGTTGAAACCGGCATAAATTTCCTTTCTAGATACAATAATATTACAACTTGTGCTTTGTATATTTGTAAACAAAACCGAACTCGTCTTGTAATAGTTTAATCCCTGTAATTTTACTTGTGTATCTTGAAACACATGGCCTGCATGGTGCGCATCTTTCGTCGCGCCTTTTACGCACCATTGTCGTAATTTTTCACGTCATGGTCTTGGAATGAAATTTATAAGACCTGTCATAACTCAAGTGTGGTCTAAAACAAGCCTTCTTACGGAGAAACAAGCCTTCTTACGGCTTTGTTTAATCAGAAAAGACCAGCTCAGAAATATTTTGGGGTTGATTCGTATGAATTATTTTAATGATGAACTTTAGCTTTATTTCTCACCAACATTCTGTTTCCATTGCCTATTGGTGCTCCAACGCTAGCATGAACATCCTACACCACCCATGTGACCTTAGTCTCATCATGGGTTGAAAAACTCTCCTTCAAAGTGGTTTGATAGGATTTCTCCTTGATAAACTCCACACATGGTCTTAAATCCATCAAAAACATGATCTTGAGACAACTTGAGGGTTTGACCGTCACTTTATGACACACTCAAACTATACCTTAATCATGTGTTGGTTATGACATGTACCTCTTCGGCAAACTTGGCCTAAGTTTAGCTTGTTTGCGACACGCCCTTAGTACCAATCATGAAATATGGTTATGTCTTGAAACAAATCGAAATATCTTATGGACTAATTGCATCTAAATTCCATTATGACTTGAAATTTGCAAGCTAAATCTAAGTTTGTCACAAACTGATTTAGAATCCAAACTTGCGTTCAATTCGAACAAAGCTTGAGGTTAATCGACCGTGTCTAGAAGCAAGTACCTTTGAACAACTTGGATCAGGTGCATACCATACCAAACAACTTGTAGTAAGGCTCACACAGCCTTTAGAGAAGTTCGTAACCAAGTTGAAATAGGGTTTAAATTTCTTGAAATCCAACCATTATATTGCGAGATAGATCCAATCATGTATTTGATGCCATTAACCATATCATGTCTATCTGATCGCGAGAACGAGGACACACATGAGTTTGGGCACAAGGGACTGGAGGCGCGCTCTTCCCACAAGAATTCAACATAAATTGCCAGGGATTATCACCACAAGTACACACAAAGTTTTTATAAATGAAGTCTTAGAGAATCATGGCCAGAAGTCGTGAAGTAGTAAAACATCCATTAAATACCGAAGTAGGACAAATTTGGGGTATGACAATCGTCGCATGGTGCTACGTGCGCCAGGTGTTGGTTGAAAGATCTCTTTGTCCCCTTAGTTTCATTAATTCTGTAATAACTTTAGTCGTCCTCGACATTCTCAATGACGTCGTCCTTCCCCCAAATACTCAGCCTTTGATGTAGAGTTGAAGGAACCTCCCTAACTCCATGGATCCACTCTCATCCTAATAAAAGGTTAAAATTCGCCTTTGAGTTTATGACCATGAAGAGTGTCGACCTGGTGGTGGTTCCCACTACTAAGTTCACTTGGACTACTCCTAGAATATTGCTGGTTTTCCCTTCGTAGTTGGATAAAACCTTATTGTGTTGCTTAAGATCAACTTTAGTCTTCCCGATCCTCCTAAATGATGTATGGGGCATTAAATTAACCGTTGCCTCTCCATCCACGAATACCTTATTCATTGCCACACCGTCGCCTTTATCTTTATAAATAATGGCTTGAAATGATACATCATTCCTGGGCTGGGTCTTTCAAACATAGCAGTTCATTATTCTACCACACCACTGTTCATCACATAATAACACAGCGGCTTATCTTCTGCAGCTTCGTCCGGCAGAAAATTATCTTCCGCCTCTGAGACCTCTAATACCCTATCGTACTCCGTCGGTAGTATTGACACAATTCCATAATTTACCACTAAGTCCTCACCGTAGGTGTCTTCATTTGTCTCATCGTACATGTCTTCATCAAAATCATCTTCTGGTGATAGAGTATTTTCCTCGTCTGATTGAGGTGTATACTCCAGTTCGTCCTCATTCGACTGGGGGGCGTATTATGGCTCATTCTTGCTTTTCGCTCCAGAAGTATACTTTGAATTCTGGGTCGACACCACCGTCTTTTCGCCAGATCCTCCAATGGTGACTATTGTGGTTTGGTTTGCCATGATCTTCTCTTTTTCGACCCATCTGGTCTTAGAGGGTTGCCTTTTCAGCCCGGGATTCCCTACAGGCCGTAGCTGCAAAGTTGAAACTTCCTTGGCAGCCTTTTTGTTTCGCTGATGGCGCCTCCACTAGGTTCTTGTCATCGGGTTCATGCCCTTGTAGTTGGGAGATACCGCATATCCCTTAGGCTCAGCATTCTTTTCAGAGGCTTTTTCCTCTCTTTCCAGATCCAACACTTTCCACTTTGACCTCTTGCTCCCTTTTTGGATCACGGGTGCCATCCATTTATCCTGTGGGGTATCCGATGGGGGTACAAAGGTCTTGGGCCTTGCCTGTTGGAACAACTTCATGTACTCCTCGTTTCATCGAGGAGCCCCATTTCTGTCAAACACGAACCTTGGGACCGACGATCTGTTGACTTGTGGCATCACCTTCCTTCCCGACTCAAATTTTTCTGCTGCTTTCTCGTTGAACACAGCATTGCATCTGGGACATAGGGCGGCTTTAGAGTCGTTGATCCTACATTTTTCCTGAAACTCAATTAAACTTTCTCCAACTTAAGGGTAGATTCCCTCAAAATCCTTTTCCACTTTCCTGTCGGGGCCCTCAGTAGCCTCGACCATCATGCATCCAAACATCGAGTTTGTCACCTGTTCTTCAGGGTGCTCAGTAGCCTCGATCATCAGATACTTTACTACTTCAGCGTATAGTGCCTCTTCCATCTATACAGGATCCGTGTCCACCTGCATTTTTGGTCTTTCACCGAACTGAAGTCGTCCTTCTTTCAAAGCTTTCTGCACTAAATCCCTGAAAATAACACATTAAGATATTTTATGACCAATGAAATTATGAAACTTACAAATTCCTTTCTTTTTCTTTTGTTCCAGAGGGGGATATTTTGTCCTAACAAGGACGACAATTTAACCATCTTTGACTAGCAAATCAAATATCTCATCGCATTTGGATACATCAAAAGAGTACGTTTTCACGACGTATTTGACCGACTTTTCCTTGTCGACCGGGTTTTTCCCGTTCGATGGATTTAGGACTTTGCACATGTATGGGGGTCCTGGCTTTAGTTCGGCCACTTTGACGGCATTCTCTTCGACGAGTTCTTCATCATCATAGGAATATCTATCGGTGGCCACAAACGCGACTTTTTCTTTCTTACGGTATTGATTAGCTTGAGACTTTTCACTCCTTAAATGTTTGACTTGTCGGACGCGGCCGACCAGTTGTGCCATATCTCTAAGATATTGCGTGCCTAGATTTTTCCTAATAGAATAATCTAAACCGTCTGCGTCCATTTCAACCAATTCGTGTTCAGAGACTTGTGTAAAGTGTCGCGCTTTCAATAGTCTGAACCTGTTGAGATACTGGTCTACAGACTCCGCTGCCTTTCACTTGACGCTGGCTAGCTCTTTCAAACTAATCTTTGATTACCCCATGTAAAATTGCTCGTGAAACATTCTTTCTAGTTGCGTCGACGTATGAGCAGACTGTGGGGGTAGCAAGGTGAACCACGTGAACACATTCTTGGTTAGGGAACTAGGGAAATATTTCATTTTTAGGTCTT